TTGGCAATGTTGGTTAAGATGCACTTTCTAGAATTTCATATAAATGGAATACATACATGGCTGACTTTCTTCTGACTTCTTTCACTCAGCATAATTACATTGAGATTGGTTTCTATCACTGGTTCACTCCTTTTTATCCCACCATCTATTTAAGTATTATCTAAGGATAACCCACCATCTATTTAAGTATTCACGTGTTTACGGATGTTTGGCTTGTTAACGGTTTGAGGCTGCTATATTTAAAGCTACTCTGAATATTCAGGCACAAGTTTTTGCATAAACATATGTTTTCACTTCTCTTTGCTAAGTGTCTAGGATCAGAATGGCTGAATCATGTAGTAGGTGTGCATTTAATCTTTAAGAAACTGCAGGCTGTCTTCCGCAGCCATTGCACCATTTACCTTCCCACCAGCAGTGTATACCAATTCCCAGGGCTCTACCTCCTTCGCCACACTTGGGATGGTCAGTCTTTTGTTTTAGTCATTCTATTAATAATAGGGGTACAAGTAATACCACATTGTGGTCTTTATCTGCATTTCCCTTATGCCATCAAGCACATGTTTTCACGTACTTATTGGTCATCTCAGTATCTCTTTGGTGAAGAGTGTGTTCAGATATTTGGCTCAGTTTTACTGGGTGATTATTATATGCTTAACACAAGTTCTTTATCAGATAACATCACCATACACTACTGGAGACTTTATAAACACTGTGCATTAGGCTACACTGAATTTATAAACAATATTTTTCTTTCTTCCCTAATAAATTAACCTTAGCTTAGTGTAACTCTTTTTGCTTTATAAAATTGTCATTTTTAAAAACCTTTGACTCTTTTGTAATATCACTTAGCTTAACGCACGCATTGTACCGAAATATTTTCTCTTTATATCCTTATTATATAAGATTTGTTTAAAACACACTTTATATTTTCATTTTTCAAATTTTGTTCAAAACTAACACATAAAACACATATTAGCGTAGGCCTTTACTTTTATCTCCCACCTCCACACCTTGTACCACTGAACGGTCTTTGTGTAGTAACATGCAGGGAGCAGTCATCTCCTACAAAAACAGCGCCTTCTGCTGGAAGACTTCCTGAAGCAACTGCCTGAGGCTGTTTTCCAGTTAACTATTATTTTTATTAAGTAGAAGGAGTCACTTTTAAATAATAAGTATAGCACAGTAAATATACATAAGCCAGTAACATAGTCATTTATTATCATTATCAAGTATTATACACTGTACATAATTGTATGTGCTATACTTTTATTGACTAGCAGCACGGTGGGTTTACACCAGCATCACCTCAAACACACGAGTCATGCTTTGTACTACAAGGCTATGATGTCACTAAGCAATAGAAATCTTTCAGCTCTGTTACAATTTTATGGGACCATTGTATATGTGTGTACACATGGTCTATCGTTGACTGAAATGTTGTATGGCATATGATTGTATATCCTTTCTTATGTTTATTTGGTAATTCATCTACTCCTAGTTTCTTAAGGTGGAAGTTGAAATCATTGATATGAGACATTTTTTTCTAATGCACTATTTAGTGCTATAAGATTCCTCCTAAGTACTGCTTTAGTGGCGTCCTAAATATTTTATATATTGTTTTCATTTTCATGCAGTTTAAAATGTTTTCTAATTTCCATTTTGATTTCTTTTTGTGAACCACAAGTTTTTAGCAGTATGTTATTTCATTTCTATATTTGGGGATCTTCCAGAGATCTTTCTGTTAATGATTTCTAATTTAATTCCATTGTGGTCAGAGAATATATTTTGTGTGGGTTCAATCTTCTATTTATTGAGACTTCTTTTGTGGTTTAGGATATTGGTAAATGTTCTGTGTGATCTTGAAAATAATATGTATTCTGCTAACGTGTGGCAGAGTGGTCTATAAATGTCAATTAGGTCAACTTGGTCGACAGTGTTGTTCAAATCTTCTATATCCGTATTTTCAGTGTGCTTATTCTACTAATTTGTAAGATCACTGAAATAGCTTACTCTAATTGTGGATTTGTCTATTTCTCCTTGCATTTCTATAAGATTTTGTTTCCTATTTATTTTGAAGTTCTATTATTAAGTGCAAAAAGGTTTAGGATTACTTCTGCATAAAGAATTGATGCTTTTTGTAATTATGAAATGATCTTATTTATCCCGGGTAATATTCTTTCCTCTGAAACCTACTTTCTCTGATATTAGTACAGCCATTCCAGCTTTCTTTTAACTAGTGTCAGCATGAGATAGTTTTCTATTCTCTCACTTTTAACCTATTTGTGTCTTTATATTTAAAGTATGTTTCTTATATACTCAACTATAGTTGAGTCTTGCTTATTATATCGAATCTAACCACCTGCCTTTTATAGAAGTCATTAGGCTATTTATATTTAATGTGATCATTGATAAAGTTTAGTTTGTCTCTTATCTTATTATTTGCTTTCTATTTGTCTGATCTATTTTTTGTTCCTCTTGTCCTCTTCCTTCTTTTGAATTAGCTGAATATATTCTGATTCTATTTTAATTCCTTTATATGCTTATTAACTATACCTTTAACTAATCACAGTCTACATTTAAGTGGTATCATACTACTTCATGTATAGTATTCTTCTATTTCATCCCTTCAGCCTTTATGCTACTGTTGTCATATATTTTTACTGCTACATCAGTTATAAATCCCATTGTGTATATTATTAGATATATTATTATTTTGTTTAAACTGTCAGTTATCTTTTAAAGGAAGTTAAATAATAAGAAAAAATATTATCTAATCACTCCACGTGGTTACCATTTCCAATGCTCTGCTTCCCTTTGTATAGGTCTATGATTTCTATTTGGTATCATTTTCCATCTGCCCGAAGGAATTTTGCATTTTTATAGTACAGGTTTGCTGGAGTTGAGTTTTTTCAGCTTTTGTACATCTGAAAATGCCTATGCTTTTGTTTTTGAAAGATATTTTTGCTAGATAGAGAATGAAGATAGAATTGTAGTTTGATAGTTTGTTCTTACAGTTCTTTAATGAGGTCATCCCACTGAATTCCCTTCTGATGAATTCAGTAACAAGATTATCTGCTGTCATTCTGATTTTTGTTCTTCTGTGGCTACTTTTAAGATTTTTCACTTTATTACTAGTTTTGAGAAATTTGATTATCATATACTTTGAAATTTTTTCCTTCATGTTTCTTGTGCTCAAAAGTTTATTGTATTTGTGGGTTTATTTTCATAAAATTTGGAAAAATTTTAGTCATTATTTCTTCGTATACTTTTTAGTTCCTGTTTTGTTTTCTTCTGGGAGTCTACTTACAAGTATATTAAAGTGCTGCAAGTTATCTTCCATTTCACTGATAATCTTTATTTTTAAAATTCTTTTCTCTGTATTTCATTTTAGATAGTTCATATTGTTATATCTTCACATTCACTAATCTTTTCTTCTGTGATGTCTATTAATTCTATCCAGAGTATTTTTCATCTCACACATTGCAGTCTTCAACTCAAAAGGTTTGATTTGGGTCCTTTTTTATATTTTCCATGTCTTTATTTAACTTGAATATATGGCATCCAGTTCCAGTTGTTTTCAGTTACTCTAACTGAAATAATTCTACCATCTTTCTTTATTCTAACATCTGTATCAGCTCTGGGTTTGGTTTCTATAGAATGATTTTCCTCCTAAATTTTTTTTTTTTTTGTCCAAGAACACCAAATTGTTCTCCAAAAATGTTTTATCATTTGTTCTATCACAAGTACATCAGAGTGTCTATTTCCCTTTTTATTCTATCAGCATTTAATTTTATCAATTTTTAATCTCTGCCAATCTCATAGCTAAAACTATCTACTCCTGTAACAGATATTTATTGAGCACCAACTATAAGCCCAGTGAAAGATGGTGGCAATTCTGTGATGTTCAAGCAGCCACAGCAGCTGCCCTCATGGTGCTTTTAATCTTGTGGTAGTTTATCATGTTTTTATTTGCACTTTCATTGATTGTTAGTGATTTTGAGCATCTTTCCCTAAGTTTACTGGCCACTTCTATTTCTCCCTTGGTATACGGCCTACTAATATCCACTGCCTAGTTTTAACAGAATTGCTTGACTTCTTTTTATTCCTTTGTAAGAGCTATTTACGTACTATGATTGACACCTGCTTTCATTTTTCAATAATAAAAATGCTTTGCAAATTAAGACATTTTCCTTTAAAATAAAGTAAGACTTGTACATGATTTACTAGAAGAAATGATTTACATGTTAATCAAATACTTTTTGCTATATTTAAAGTAAATATGAATTAATTCTGGTGTGAATACACTACCCTTACACTTATTGAACAATACAAAAATACAAAATACACATGACACACATAAATACATAAATAAATAATGTCACATGTAAATGACTTATATTTTTTAGAAATTATCTTAATAGATTTCAAATGCCATTTTATTCCCTTAATAATGAAATAGAAAGTAAAGGGGATAAAACGTCCCCAGATTATCTATTACCAGCTGATTAAATATTATTGGCAAAGTCAAGCCATCTGTATTGGAAATGCCGGCTAGTCAAGACTGTTAGTTTCTAATAATCTAAGATATATTTAATGTCAAAACTGCCATGTTGCACATTTTCTCAGACATCAAAGAGCATGAGAAGTTTTCCAAGGGACATGCTGCCTACTCATCAGGCTATGTAGGTAAATGTTGGGAGCACCAGGAAAGACACTCTGAGACAAAGGTTCTAGTAAGTGCCTGGTGTATTTCACATTCCTGGACTACATGAGGTAGGTAGAGAGGGAGGCCCTGAGATGTGTCCAACTCTATGGCCATGGATATTACCTGTACATGTCATAAGACCATAGGACATCAGCCCTCTGAATATGATGGAGAAAACGTATGCCACCAGTTATGCTGAGCCATTTTAATACTGGTGATGATGACAGCAGTCTGCAAAGCCCCATGAGGCCCAACCCACCAGTTTTTCTGTTGGACTTGGGGCCCCCTGACCAACCTGTTTGGTGTAGGTGGTCTCTGGCCACCTCAAACAAGCGCAGGTGCATGTTGGTGATGGGATTGAAGGAGCCACAGGCCAGGAGCACCACAGGGATTCGGCTCTTCATCTTGTCAGGGACATCCACACCCACAGCAGTGGCCACCCTGTCTTTAAATAGGGACAAAAACTCAATTCAGGGAGTTGGCACCAAAACAATTGTTCAGATCAGTATCTCTAAACCAGACACAAGGCATTACTCCTCACTTGTAAGATGACCAAGGAGGCAATAAAAATAGCAACATTTATGGAGGCTCACTATGGACCAGGAACTATGCCAAGTGCTATACCAAGGTATACATCTTCTCTTGCCAAATCCTTTTTAACACTGAGTGGTTACTCATATAGCCTAGGGACCTTAGAAGCTGCTGGGTCAGGATGAGAACCCTGGCTGCCTGACCCCAGAGCTTATGTTCTGTTCTTAACCTCCACACTCTCCCTGAGCTCTGGTGGGTCACCCTGGGACCAAAAGGAGGTCTGTGGGCCTCCTGTAATGTCATCTCAGATGGTCCAAATAGAACTCACCAAGTCCCAGAGTAGACCAGCACTTTAAAAAAACTTTTATTTTGAAATAATTTCAGCCATTGAATAAGAGTTGCAAACTTTATACAAAGAATTTTATATACTTTTCACCCTGATTCCCCAAATGGTAACATTTTACAAAATTTGCTTTATCATTCATTCTTTCTCCATATGCACACACACCTGTATACACCTGTATCTATTTTTTCTAAAATGTTTGTAAGTTATAGATATGATACCACCTTACCTCTAAATACTTCAGTATGTATTTTCTAAGAACAAAGACATTTTCTTTCACAATTGACAAATGATTAAAATCAGGAAATCAGTATTGTTATAGGACTATATCAAATCTACAGAATGTATTCAGATTTTACCTGTTTTCCTTTTTCTGGGCCCAAGTATTTTGAAAGGGCTCAGCCCATCCTCGGGCCTCTCCACTCTGTTGCTTCCAGCACCATGGTAAGGTTAAGGGTGAGAAGGACCTAGCCTGGGCTCCAGGGCAGGCTGGCAGACATAGCTCTCCTGCCTCTGAGATGCCGCCTCCCAGAGGTGATGGTAAAGAGCTCCCCTGGAGGTGGGCTTGGGTCTGACTGCTAGTTCTACCTCTCACTGGCTTTGAGACCAAGGGAAAATCACAGCCCCTCTCTGAGCCACAGCTTCCTCATCTGCAAAGTGGGGATAATATTATTTACTCTTATAAGGTTGTAGGGAGGACAGGTGAGTTATATATAGAAAGAAGTAGTTAATAAAGTATATAAGAAGTATTTAATAATAATTGTTGTGGCTGGGCTGCTGTTGATGACAAGGGTAAAAAGATGCTGCTGGTGACCCTGACAAGGGAGAGGAGACAGGAGAAGGCAGTGTGCCGGTACTGGGCAGCATTTACAATGGTTCCCAATGATCTTCCTGTAGTCACCTCTAATCCTTTCCCCTTGAGTAAGGGCTACACTGGGTAACTCTAATGAATAGAATACCACAGAAGCAGTGGGATGCCATTTCCAAGATGAGTTTATAAAAGGGCCTGGATCCCTTTGCCCTGCCTCTTTCGCCTTCTCCCTAGCTCACTCCGATGAAGCCAGCTGCCATGTTGTGAGCTACTTCACGGAGAGGCCCATGGACCAAGGAACTAACAGAGACTTCTGGTGGCCACCAGCCCATGAGGAACTGTGTCTGCTATGTACATAAGCCTGGCTGTAGATCTTCCCCCAGTCAAGTTTTCAGATGAGACTAAGGCCTGTCAACCCCCTGGTTGAAGCTTTATTAGAGACTCTGAGCCAGAAGATGTAGCTATATGTGGATACGTGACTGATAGGACCTATGAGATAATAAAAATAACAAACAAATGTGCTGTTTTAGGCTGCTACATTTTGAGGTAGGTTGTGATGTAGTGATAACGAACACAGTGTCCAACAGGAGGGCAGCATTCAGTTCCTTCCTTCCATTTTGCAGCTATGGGGGCCTTGGCTGAGATCCTGCAGTTCTAGGGATAACACGGAGAGCTCTCAGTCACTGAGCTTGAGACCCTCTTGGTATCTAAGGATGTATTTAACCTGGCCCCCACTGTCTACTTCTCCAGTCTTTAATCCAGCTTCCTACTGTATTCTTCAGCAGCAATGAACTATCTTTCAGTCGTTTCTTTGTGAGTGTATCACAGCTTCTGCTTCAAGTTTTAGTACATGCTACTTTGGTTTCCTCCAACCAGAACACCCTAAGTACACGCCAATCTGTGAGGACTCAACTCAGTTGATCACATCAGTTATAACACCAATCACTCTATGATGACTACCTACTAGGGGTCTGTATCAGATAGGGATGCCTTGGATGCAAATCCCAGAAGGCTAACCTTAGTGGCCTAATAAAACAGAGGTTCACTTGTTTCTCACATGACAAAAAGTCTAGAAGTGGGCTGATGGCATTAGATCATGCTCAACAATGACCTGCAATTCTCTCTGTCACAAGATTGCTGCTGCAGTGACAACCATCATGACCTCAATTAAAGTGAGGAAGAGGAGCAGGGACCTGTACCAGACTGGGTATCCCTTTTAATCAAGGGTGCAAAACCACTCTAGCTATGGCAGAGGCACACATGGAACTTCACATCATCTCCAGTGGGAGCTGCAATGGAAAGGGGACTGGGAATTAGATTAGCTAATCCACAGTGGCCACCACAGAGTTGGGGATCCAGCTGTCTGAGAGGTGGGAGTGTGGAAGGCTGCTGAGATGGCTTCTCTGACACCCAGCTTGTGTTAGCTTATCTGACTTACCTGGAGTAGCTTGAATGCCACATTCTATTGAAAAACCCTGCCAAGATATCTTTCCTACTCACCAGACAGTAAAATCTTTAAGAGAGAGTGGTAGTGTTTTCTTTGCCTTTGATCTCAGCTGCAAGCAGAGAGGCTTGGGGCTCAGTGAAGACTGATGCAGGGCACTGACCCACCTCCTGGTAGAGGGAGGGCCTGCTGCACCTCCTACTATACACAGAGAAGTTGTTCTGGATGTATTATGAGCTGCAGTGTGAAGATGAAAGCTCTTGGCTGAGGCAGCTCTTGGTCTCTTCAAGCTTCCTTTGAGGTAGCAGGGGAAGAAGGCAGTCAACAGGCTGCTGCTGCTTCCCAAGGAGGTTGAATGGTTTAATAAGATATTATTTGCAAAATGTGCCGAGCTATTCACAAGAGCAGCCTTATGATGAGTGTATTTGAAGACGGTGGCTGTTTTTCACAACTACTATGAAGCCTTTCAAAATTCTTTTTCATTTTGACAAAATATAAATTGCAAGAGCCATTAAAACATGTAACTGCAGCATCTCAGGCAACCTGGGATTTTGACCCATTTTTCCAAAAGTTCCCCTAAACTGTAAATTACAACATTTGTTTGAATGGTAGTATCAACCACAATGAAGTATGATACTGGGAAGGAGAATAAATTACCTTTATTACGTGCTTCTTTTTCTTTCTTTGCTGTGGGCATACTGCACTAACAGTGACTGTGCCCTGTCTGGGCCACATCTCAGGCTGGAGGACAAAGTGAATGCACATTCCTAGACTTAGCAACAAGGTCACTGTGCTCTGGTACCATGTGTCTACTCCAACTGGCTTCAACCAAACACTCTTTAAAGCCAAACTTAGAGATAAATGATGACAGCATTGAAAAGGACTCACTCCAGGGGTCCACCAGCAGAATAAATGGGTCTGATTTGAGTGCAAACCTCATTAGACACAAGGCAAGATGCAGGCCATAGAAGTAACCCATCTGCTCTTACCATCAAATAGTAATATCTGGGAGACGAAGCAAGTGAGAGAGAATTTTGCTGTTGGGAAACGGTTCTCATCAATATGCATTTAATGGTGGCCCACAGAGTGAGCAGCGATTGCTGCTGCAGGATTTAACCAGTTGAGAAGGCAGCATGTGGGCTTCTTGGAATTTATCATTAAATTGGAGACAAGGCAAACAGTTTCCTCCTTTGGTCCTGCCCCCTTTCCACACCACCTCCTCTCACCTCACAAGTATCTAGATAGACTTTCATCCTGCTCCTCAAACACGACACGCTGCTTCTGCCAATGTGGTTATGACCACCTGAAACTTGATCTGCCTTCGTGGCTTCTTCCTGGAACATGTTCTCCTTCCCCACTGTGTTGACACTGTCCCTGCTACACATTTTATTACTTTATCTCTCATCACCATGGCACTGTCATTGCTTCTTTTCCGTGTTGCTCTTCCTCAATTAGAAGGTAAACTCCGAGAGGGTGGTTTTTTATTCATCTTGATCCCCTCAACTCCTGGCCCTGTGCCTAGCACATAACAGGTGCTCAGTAAATGTGTGTGGAATGAATGAGTGAGGGACTGTTTCTGACCATGTGTTTTCGTCAGATACCACCTCCACTCTTCAGACTGGGCCTTACAGAGATATAAAGTGAACTTTCCAGCTTCCTGGATGCTTAAGATCCCCACCCCCAGCCCCATTCTACCCAACTCAATCTGAAATCAAACCAGACAACCCTCCCACCTTGTTATGCCCTCTTCAACACTAGGGTCTTGTCAACAGGGATATACTGAGGTCGTCCCTCCACCTAGGGTAACTGGATGGCTGCGGCTTTGCCAGGACAGAGCCTGCTCCCTTTTAGGTCCCACCTCCCAGCATTGCCTGCCCTTCCCAAGATGCATCACTACACCAGTTTTCAGAGAGAAGACAGTTTCTCCCCACCAGCCAGGCCTCTGGCATGTCCCTACCCCCCATCTACCTACTGGCAGCTGTTTATTAAGTATGTACTATGGGCCAAGCCCTCTTCCAGGTGCTAGGACACAATGGGAGGCAAAACAGATGTGGCCCTGTCCTCAGAGACCTTCCACTCATCTTTGTGAAGGAAAATTCAGTGCACAGTAACCACTAGGATGAGGGCTCAGGGCTTAACATCTCACTACAAGAGCTGAAGATGGCCACCTCCTTATCTTTGGAACCTATGAATATGTTACAGTACATGGTAAAAGGGGTTTTGCAGATATGATTAAGCAAAGAATTGTGAAATGGGAAAAGTATCCTGGATTATCCAGTTTTATCATGCAAGTCCTTATGGGAAGGGGAGTAAGAA